ATGAGTTTGATGAGTTGATTTGTATGTAATTAATTACTAAATTCACCGTAGACCAGGCTTGGTACTGTGATAGTAAAGTACACAGGATTTCTCTCTTCAGAGAGACAAAATGTATTGATTCTAATCATTTACACATAACCTTTACCGTGTTTAGTTTCTCCTAATCTATGACTTTTTGGACAAGCAACCATCGACAACCATCTAACTATCAACCTAAATCACTCTTTCGAGAAAAAGTAACCAACCACCATACTATTTGTGCTTTGTTATTTATATCGTCTCTCGCTTTACGTCAATACTGTCGCATCCATTGATGGACGCAATCAAACATTAACACACTTTCTACCAATGATTAGACCTATGGTTGTCGTTGTTTGTCTAGTGGCTAATAAACAAAAACTGGCACTTATGCTGGATTCATTATTGTTTTCGTTCCGTTGTTCTTTTATCCACTGTCCATGTTGAGCTCTGGCTTCGTTTAAATACAACCATTTTCAATTATTTCCTGACCAGTAATATCAAATTTTCCAGTGTAGACAACGGGTGAAAATGAAGAAAAAATGAAACTTGTCAACCTGAAGAATTATTATAACCACTAAACAAAATACAATCGAATTCTTTGGGGATCACGTTCGAATTTTCTTTCACATACGAGTGTCTCCAAACGTTCACTTCGCATAACCTATGTGAATCAACTTAAATAGATTTTTCGAAAGAAACTGTCGTCCGACTGAGAGCTAGAACAGTTTTTGGCAGACTAGAAAACCTTTGGTAATATCCTGATACACATTTTTCCCTTAATGCAATGGTATATGACGCAGAGTTTTCACTGCTTTATTTTAGCGTTCTGATTTCCGGTATCTTTGGGGGTGGGGTGGGGTAGGGTGGGCGATAACGAAGGGCACACAACCATTGATGTTGCTGTTACATTGCACGAGTTCGACAAAAACTGCGGGTGGGTAACGATGATGTGCAGTGCAATGTGTTGGGTTCTGATAGTCATACGTTACCCAAAGTAACCGTTCTGTTCCCAGTTCAATGGTTCTAAAACGTATTTTCCAGTCGTCTGTTCACAGCTTTGAATTGTGAAACCACTTCAGCTGTCGAACTATGATTTGGTTTAGTGTTATGAATAAATGAGTCCTGGCAATGGCTACCAATTTTGCTTTCCGCATTGGCCCGTGACGAAGATTGTTTTTGCTGGAGAGCCTGAAAGACATGACCTCAAGCAGAAAGCAGTGATAGTAACGTTTGTTTGTCGAACTTCCCTGCCGTTGAGCAGCAAAGAAAAACATATAAATCGTAAAACAGCACATAGTAGTTTCGCTGAGGGCACATCTTCATTCTTCCCTCAACTTTCATGCTGCTCCTATTTTACTTCATTCAACATTTGACAGCGGTCTGTATGGAGTGAAAGGGATTAGGTATAGCCAGTAAGGTAACATAAGGTACAGTTTTGTCCTAATTACTGCCTGTTATTTGTTTCACCGAGCCTTTCCAACCATACTCACATGAAATCTGTACCAAATGATCTTGAATCTACCTTATGAGTAACAGATAAGTACATTTTTTTCTCGGATCAAAAAGCTTTTCTATGTCGCTAAGCAGAATTTTTGTGATGTTTATAGCTGACACGTTTTAGTTTCATTTTATCTATTTGGGGTCTCACCTTCTTTGATTCTAGCTCATTTGGTCCTTTTGTTTGTTTCTTTCATTGTAGGAAACTGAGCAATCGCAAAATAGATGGCATTGCGATTTCTAGCTTTTCCCCTAGTCTTGTATCAGTATTTGTATTTGTAGAAGTTGTGTGAGCATAGTCCATATCTAAGCACAACTAAAGTCCCCTTTGACCGTTTGTGCGATTAGATTAGATTTTCGCAGTTTGCACGACTTCAAATGCCTTAACCAAACACCAGCCAGCTTGATCAGCAGATTGTAATGTTTGTGTTATTTCTGCTGTCCAACAATGCTATATTGATAGTCTTGATGCACACCGTAGTGTTCTGAAATTATAGGTGATTCTAACGTCTCGGAGCAGTCAAAAAGATATCATTTCTCGCTCGCAGTAACACTGCAGACCTCATATTTCTTACTTCCGCTAACTCATTCATTCATTCAATGTAAATATGTGACTGATTGTACTGGTGTCATGAATTTGATCTCTTTTAGAGGTAAAATTAATGTGTTTTCCAATCGAAAAGGATCTCCAGTTCCACTATGATTGTTAATGTGATCAAAAACCACTGCGTACTTTGTGGTCAATCCAAGCACCCTTTCACATTATCATTGCGCATTCAGGTGTATGCTGAATTCTTATCCGATTCTATGCTTGCACCAGAGTCATTGGTCAAAATAAATTACCAATAGAATTGGGCCTAATTTGAAACATGTACATATAAATAACAAAGAGAAACAAGGAAAATATTATTCAGTACAAAGAAAGTGATGAATATTGTTACGTGCATTACAATATTATGTATAGCAAGTAAGCTGCACTGAGAGGAACTTTTATGAAAAATGTCTCTAGAATCTATTCACGTTAAACTAACAAATTTAATTACCGCGGACGCATTTTAAATGAAAACGGACAATTCGAGCGATCCATCAATGTTTTTGGAATGACGTCATAAAAAAGAATATATGTTAGCCCACTTCAAGTGTTCTAAACTTTTGTGGAAAGCAACATAACCAGGAGATTCAAATGTCAGCACACACACAGGATAGAGAGCAAGCATGAGACATCTTCGAGACGAATAATCATACTTCGCAACTTTTTAATCACACCTGTTTGTTGTTCGTTTTGTAAGAAAATCTTTTTAATTCACTGCTCTTATTTTTCTTTCACACTTCAGTATTTTATCCGAATATCAGTTATTTAAATACGACAAATTATCCAATGAATAACTTAAAGCTACGAGTGAGGTAAACTAGTAATTTTGGTACATGTTTAACAAGTGCTTTCAAGTAAGACTATTGTTCAGTGGTTTTCGATTAGACTAAAGAGAAAGCTAATAGTCCCACACCGCGGTTGGCGGCCTAAAAATCAGATTGAAAAACATTGAAGTTCATATCTGAACGAACAGGATGCAGTAAAAATCAGAATCAGCAACGTTGCGACCTGGATGGCGCGGTAGTAACATACCCACACTCACGCCCTGCATGGAGGAGTGTGAATTCAGATATTCCAATATCGTTGGTCGCGTACTATTTGTGTGCTATAAGAAGAGCAAAGCTGGGGTCTAATGTCTTCGGTGTCTGTGTGTGTATAGTTACTTAGATAAACTGGGAATTGTGCATGGAGGTAAATTATGATGTAAGGTTGGTCAAAATGAAAAATATCTGTTTCACACAAGTAAAGATTAACAAAAAATATCCGAATATATATATATATATATTCCAATACATCTTGTGTGAAAACAACCGGTAAAGCTTACAGGGGGATTCACTATCTATGTCCTTGTATTGATCCATGCAAACTCACTAAGTTCAGTGTCACGGGTTCAAACACCTATGGGAAACAAAATGAGTACTCACTGGTGATGACTCCCAGCAACAGGAATGAATCGGCAGGTCAATACTCTTACTCGGCCATTGCATAAAAAAAGTTATTAGCTATGCATGTCTCATTCTTTTGCACCATTCACAGGCATCGGAAGATCGCAAGACGCTAATGACGGATGCGGGGCAAAACAAATAGTAATCCGCTCGGAAGAAACCATCCGATTTCCATTTGGTGAATTTAGCGAAGCAACAGACTGCATTGTGACGATAACAACGGAGGACCCTAATGGAGCATCTATTTTCGTATCCGAACTTGCTAATCAGGTATGATCAAAAAAAAATTCGCAACACGAAACATTGAATTTAGTGAATTAACATATAAATTAATCAAAACAGTAACCCATCGCGCATTTTTGATGTAACATTCTTTCCCATATTAATGATAAATTTCAGATTAAAGGAGATGATTCAACCTGCGAGGAGGGGTATTTCCAACTCGCCACGCAGGGAGACGATATAGAAGATACGGAAAAACATTGCAGCGCTAGTCAACTCACTCACGGGTTATCAATTGAAGAACCAATTCAACTACGTATACGCATCATTAAAACAGAAAACAAACCATCATTCCAACTGAAGTTCACCAAAGGTGAGTGATAATTTGATGCGGAATGATACCGAATATATAAATATATAAGTGTATATATATATATACATATATAAAACTATGAAAGCAAAGAATGACAGACGAGGGAAGTAGAACCTGGCACGAACCTTTAAAAACTCCGCAAAGAATAAATCGAAGTCGTCGAGAAAAAACTGAAACATTCCATCGAGTAAAAAAAAGTGAGACTTTTGATGCTTGAACAACCACTCAACAATTAAAAAAAACTCAGGAAAGAAACCAAAACCGAATTTGAGCATTGCACCTTCAATGATCAGTAAGTAAATAGAAAAAAATACATATAAGCACGTCAATAATCAGGAGAGACGAGGAGAATCTGAGCTCAGATAATTAACACCAAACGACAAATACTTAGAGACCAACGACCGCTGCAGCGAACGAAAGAAAAGATGGCTTAATGGACACTATGTCGACTACAATCAATAAAAAAAGAAAAATTGATTGACGATACCCGTTAACCAATCCTGGTGGAATGGGCAGAGTTTGACAGAGAATACCATAATCAAGGTAGCTTCATCAAATGAACAACTGATAAATCAACTACAATACATAAAATAAATCAACAAAACAAAAAACAAATCACAAGAATAACGACTGAATATTGTCAACATAGATACAGAACAAAGAAAAAAGAAACAGAAATGGAATTCAGATAAAAAAAGATGCTAGTCAAAAAAGGAAAGCAACAATCAAAACCAATCAGGTAGAAAATCCATAAAAAAATAAAAGCAGTGAAAAAATAGGAGCAATAATCCGATAATCGACGGAAAGAGAGTTGAAAATCCGTTCCAAATCTTCCTTATCAGAGACGGAAATGGATGGATGCCGCTCAGGAACGATTGAATTGCGAGGGACAGAGAAAGAGGAGCATTTCCCAGTGGGGAGGTTCTCATCACTGACAGATTGTCTTATAACCATCAGCTCAACGAACACCGAAGCTACTGGAATCACAGTCACGCAAATCGAAAACGAGGTATGTCGCAATGCTCACAGATGAACGCCAATGGACGAATCCGCTGTTCTATGCCATTCTCTTTATCATTCTATCCTATCCTAACGCATTTATCTGTCTCACACATTTGTTCCAATCTTCCAAACTCTTTTATGATCATTTGGTTCTAGCTATCCAGTTCCACGACTGGCCAATGCACGGAAAACTACTTCCAACTGGCCAACACCGAACAAGATATACCAAATGCGGAGAAATATTGCAAAGAGAACCAAATGAGTACACCAATGCAATTATCTCAGGGCTCCAAATTGAAAATTAGAACACCTGATACAAATCGTGACCCCAAATTGAAACTCAAATTCATGGTCATCGGTTAGTCCTCTCACTATTTGCCATTCTCACTTATCTCACCCTCACTCTGTCTCTCTATCTATCCATCCGGGATGATCCGTTTTCTTTCCGGCACAATACGACACAATACGACAGTCGTGATTATCTAACACTCCGATTCACATGTGCATGCTCTCACTCCATATAGCTCACCCTGACACTGGGAATATGTTCGTAGATTTTTTCGTTGCTTGCTTTCGTGTTTGTGCTTGTTTGTGTGAGCAGGTTGTGCATGGATCGAATGCGGAAGGAAGGAAGGATGGTGACCTGAGAATGGGAGAATCATAGGGAAGCGGACCCACAATTGACCGTAGCTGCACGTTAGCTCGTGTCATGTCAGATGTTTGCATTTTCGTACTATTGGTTCCCCTTTGCTTCGGGTGATACGTTGTCAAGCGGTTGTGTGATGTATAATTAACTTACAACCAGCGAAATTGAAAGCAGAAAACCCCCTGTGGCATCTAAATTTTCCATCATTTTGCAGGAATCGTACCTGTGCGAGGAGACACACCAGCCATGATTTTCCGCGTGTTTTACTTGTAATGAGAGTTGCCAAAACCATGTGAAATTCCTTGTAAGGAGAACGGATTATTCTGTGTGTTTGCTGTTATCCATACTCCGAGAACACGTGGTCTGAGCAATTCGATTTCGGTCACAGGGTTTGCCACAACTACTATGGCTGATATTTTATTCCATTTGTTCGCAATGCGATTTGAGAACAGAGCCCTGGAGCTTTCGTTTTCTGCGGTTTCATCAGTTTCAGCTCGTTCACTCTGAGGGATGGGTTTTGGTTGTAGTAGGGCTGTTCGTTACTCACACCCCGTTTCGTTGCTTAAAGGGCTCGACTAGATTACCCCTCGGTCGTAGGCGTTCAAGCGAACACAGGTCTAGGGTCATCAGTCGTTCCTTTCAGGACCGGCGTTGGAGCACACTGATCATTGTGACAAATCATCGCTGGACGGCCTGGAATAATTATTTATCTCTCACAAGAACAGACGCTCACTACGTGCACAGTACTCTCAATCTTAGAGTATTCACGTTTTGTACAGTGGCAGAAACACGGCATATGCTCCGGATAGCACGGTTGGGCACAGTTGAACTCGTGCCCTTTTGATTTTGTCCATAACTGATAGATATTATGTCAGGGGAAATGTTGCGTTCGCATGAGAATTCTCTTGATTTGAATTTGAAATGGATTAGGATCAGCCGCCACGGCGAGGACCGGTCGGCGTTTTCTCGAGGGCCGTGGATACGCAGTCGTCAGGGTAACAAACAGAGAACGGCACCATGGTTTGTGCAATCTTTCTAGCCTTTCTAGCCTCATAACCCCAAATCCGGACATAGGACTTGACTGTGATCGCACGTTTCTCGCTTCTCAATCCACGTTTGTGTGGGACCAGCGATAGAGACTTACACTATTTGCAGCTGTCTTCAACTGAGATCGTTAGGATACGCATCGTCGGACCAGGCTTGGTGATCGTTTGGTAAACATGACACATGGTTCGAGTACTCTGTGTATCTGCATAGACTGCATAGACTGATCTCGGCATCGGAAGCCCCGATCGGATCAGCTACTCAGTCTCCTATGTGTCGCACTTCATCCACTTCCTTGTTCTGCAGAATTTGTTCATACAAACTGCCAATCAGTCTGAGGCTCCCGCTCGGCCGACCATCCATGGATTCTATCTGTGACCTTTCAGACACTCATCCACAACGGTTCCCAGATAAGTTTGACGCCATCTGCAAACATGATGCCTGTGCACTCTTTAGAATAGCAGACCACCTTGAACGGACCACTGCGGTACCTCGCTTCACACAGCGGCTGATTTCGAAGATCCTTGTTCTACCCTCACGTGGAACATGCTGTCATGGAGATACCCCCTAATCGAGTCTAGCACTCTTTCATTTATCTGGATTGCTTCCGACTTGTGCAGGAGGTGAACTGTGGTTAACCGAGTCGAAGGCCTCATTTTCCTCGGTCCAACTCTCTTTGACACGCATTTAGAAAGAGGATGAGGCTAGTAACGCATTACTTGTTCCCTACAAATCCATGCTGCTCAGCTGCTATTTATCCGTGTTGTCCAGAGAATCTGACTAATCTATTCCAGTCTGAACGCTCGAATTGTTCACCACCGCAGATAATAGGCTGACCAGGCAGTAATTTGAGGCGGATTCAAATGAGCCGCCATCCAACAGTTCCGCTATGGTTTGGTTGGTCTGTAGCTGAGATGTAGCTAGAAAGTGATTGAACAGGTTTGCTAGTGAACCTGAGATGTTGTGAGCTCCCGGACGCAGGATGATTGCGAGTACTCCGACTAACCTCACAGTCTAATGCTATCTTAGATGGCGATCGGCCAGTTCTACCACCACTGCCTCCATCAACGTCGGTTCCTTAGGCCGATTTGGGTGAATCATTGACAGAGAGGAAGACGTCTGTCTACCTGGACCCTGTCTATGTCTCCGTTTTACAAACTCCTTGAAAACATCGGCCTCCGCCCTGTTTTATTAGCTTGTCTTGTGCAGTCTTGTGCAGTCTTGTGCATGAATAACGTTTTCATCTACCACTCGGGTGTGAGCTTAGCATTGCACATACTTTTATTAAATACACTGTGGGATACTGATGAGCGTTGTATGCAAGCCTCGTTTCATACTCCCCATGGTATTGTCTCTTCATTCTGAGAGTTCATTTCCTGGTTCTTAGGTAATGTACGCATCGAAGATGCGATCCTTGTACAGTAGACTAGCCCAACCGTTCGGTCGTTTTCTATAGAGTGCTGAATCGTTTTCTAGTCCACCACGAAAACCGGTCGACTATATCCCATTATACTCCATGATGGAGCAATGTGCGCCGTGAGTCAAATGTTTCCATCATCTACACACTGCCAATGTTAGTCGGCTAAGTGATTACCGGGAGGGGAAGGTTTGATGGTGGTTACCCGTTAACGTAGTACCCGTAAACCCGTTCAACCAAAAGTCATCTAAACTTGTGTAGGAGACACGGAGAAGGAGTCTGAAGTCGCTATCTGAGCACACCCAGAGGCGTTAGACACGGATGAGGAATGAGATTTACAGTATACGATAGACTAACGGGAATTGGCGAGAAACAGTTGAATGGAATGAGTAGAGAAACGAGAGGGAAAGACGACATTGAGAAAGGAACGAACGGTTAAAAGAACGACTGAAGACATGAGATGGGCCATAGATGCGCAACGTTTATAGCCTAAGCGAATCGGAAAAGGATTGGTAAGTGGGAAAGGAAAAATGGGAAAACGAGGGACCAGAAAAATTGACCGCCGTCATAGTCTAAACACTACCGAGGAAGCCGAGGAGAAACAGGGGCCAGAGAGAAATGCGACTAGACAATCTATAAGACCAGAAAGAGAAAGGCACATAAGACATGAAAGAAAAGCAGACCAGATGGGAGTACAATAGCAAAATTACCCCCTCCGATGAGTACACATAACTACACATGTAGAAGAGAACGATAGAACGATAGAACGAGAGAGAACGACGGAATGATGGGGAGAGAGAATCACTTATTGGAAAAGAGACAAAACACATTCTATCGTTCTGTTGGATATTCGCACTCTTCCGTGAGCTTTTACTTGTTTCTTCTACGATCGGTACCCAATCCTACTCATTCGTTGCATGTACCTTCTCCACACAGTGTGCTGTGACTGCACCTAATTTACAGAAAGTTTTCTTCTTGATCTCCTTCGTCAC